AATCCTTGGACCAGGAGCCCCATAGGGAAGGCCCAGAAATACCCTGGTCAGAAGCTATCCACTCTCCTAGTGTCTCAGGGGCCTACTCTCTCGCCTCTCCATGTGACTCTGCCGCCTCAGCGCCTCAGCGTGATCCCCAGAGGTTGGCTCCAACCCCCTTTTGAGTCCATTTGCTTTGATTTTGAACCTGGGTATGTGCTCTGTCCTTGGCAGTGACTGTCTGTACCCAAGTGTCACAGGCATCCTGTGATTTTTGCACACCTCCTGGGAGTAGGGTCTCAGCAGGGGCCACCCCAGGGCTTTAGAGACTGGCATCTATGTCACAGAACAGTTGTTGCACAGGGGTACAAAGTCATCTACGGCCTTGGAGACTAGGAGGACAGAAAGAACCAAGAAGTTTGACAGAAACCTCACCCATCAGACCTAACTTGGGGTGGTAGGACTTAAGATCTAGGCTCTGACTCTAGGAGATTCATCAGGGTGCAGTTACAGCCCTCATAGCACTAAGGGGAGGCCAGAGGCAAGGAGTGGCTAGCACAGGTCCACACAGGAAGTCTGATGGGAGGTGGCCTTGAAAAGGCAGTTTTATTCTAGATGAGGGATGGTGGTGTTTTTTCTCCTGCATCTCTCCTGTCACCTACCCTGGACTTGCATGCATTGCTTTGGTATGGTTTTAATCCTCTGAAACCTGTCTTCATCCCCACAAGCCTTGACTGAAGTCTTGGGTCTGATTGCTTGCCTGGGTCCACCTTCCCTCTAGAGCACCCAACCTGTATCCCAACCACTGCTAGACTTGCCATGGCCATAGGAAAGCCCAGATCCCCCAGAATGAATGAGTGCTGCACAACTTGTCTGGTCTCCAATGCCAGTCTTGCCCAGTCTCTGGAGTTTCATCCTCGAGATGTGGTGTTTCCACCCTCAAAAGCCTGAGCTCTGAATCCTGAGCTCACTTACTCTTTGTTCTGGTGTTCTTCCTCCATCCCCAGGACCCTAGGCTACTTTTCTAGCTGGCTATGCAGCAATCCCTGCTCTAGGGACAATCATGAACATTCCTTATTGCTTGTGCTGAGGCTCCAAGGCCCTGGTGGCACACTGGGTACAATATGGGAGTCCTGTATGGATAGACACCTGCTTGGGCCACCAAGGCGACAGCATCCTTAAGACAAGTTACAGGCACTAAGAAAACACATATATGTACACATTTAACAGTTTACTTACTTTATTTAGTGTGTGTGTTAGTATGGGCATAAGTGTCACATTGCGCGGTTATAGAAATTAGAAGGGAACTTTCAATAGTCCGTCGTCACTTTCCACCTTGGTGAAGCAAGGTCTCTCCTATTTCTGCTGCTGTGTAGTGTATTTGAGGGTAGCTGGCCTGCAAGCTTCCAGACAGTTCTCCTGTTTCTACTTCCCATCTCATGGGAAATCTGAAATCACCAATATGCACCACAGCATCTGACTTTTAAAAAGCATTTTATGTTACGTATACGTGCCCAGGCACATGCAATAGCCTTTGGAGGGTGTTGGATCATCTGGAACTGGAGTTACAGTTCCCCTGTGGGCTACCATATGGGTGCTGGGCACCAAACCCAGATCCTTTATAAGAGCAGTCAGTGCTCTTAATTGCTAAGCCATCTCTCCAACCCCTAAATCTGAATTTTCATATGCATCTTGGCACCCAAACTCAAGTTGTCAGGCTTCCATAGTGAACAGTTTTGTCCAATGAGTTACCTTTCCATCCCTTAAGATGTTTTTGTTTATTTTTAAGATTTATTTTTATGTTTTTGTTTTTTATGTGTTTTGCTTACGTGTATGTACGTGTACCATAAGAATGTCTGGAGCTCATGGAGACCAGAAGAGGGCGTGGGATCCCCTGAAACTCTAGTTACAGATGATTGCTGGCTGCCATGGGGGGTGCTGGGAAAACAAACCTGGATCCTCTGCAAAAACAGGTTTTTTTCAAGACAGTGTTTTTCTGTGAAACAGTCCTGGCTATCCTGGAACTCACTCTGTAGACCAGCCTGGCCTCAAGCTCACAGGGATCTGCCTGCCTCAGCCTCCCAAGTGCTGGGATTAAAGGTGTGTACCACCATCACCTGGCTCTTCTTAAGGTATTTTTATCTGGTGACTAGATAATCCTTTGTTGTGGCAGAAACTTGCTAATATAAATTTTCATGGCTTTTTTTTTGTGTGTGTGTGGTGTTGTCCTAGAACTCACTCTGTAGCCCAGGCTACCCTCAAACTCAGAGGTTCACTTGCCTCTGCCTCCCAAATGCTGGAATCAAAGGTATGCAACACCCCCCCTACTTTATGTCTTCTTTCTTAAAAACATTTTCTTATTTATTTGTGTGTGTGTGTGTGTGTGTGTGTGTGTGTGTGTGTGTGTGTGTAGGATAGAGAGGGAGGGAGGGAGGGAAAAAGGGGGGGAGAGAGAATGAAATGTGTGTGTCACAATGACAATGAGCATGTGGAGTTAGTCCTCTTTTTCTCACATGTCCCCAGGATAAAACTCAAGTTGTCAGGCTTGGCAGCCACTTTACCCACCGAGTCATTTCCACAGCCTCAACACCTTCTTTAAGGAATTATCTTTGTACTTCATCACCTCTGTATTTCGGCATGCAAACATGGACAGACATGGATGGCATATGCCTGTCCATAGGTTTAGGAAGATTAAGGAAGTGGGAAGTTGGGGGGTGGCTTAGTAAAGTGCCTGCTAGACAAGCATGTGGGCCTGAGTTCGAATCCCCAACACCCAAGTAAAGAACAGGGCATTTTTGCTAGGTTTTGAGGGTGGAGTAGAGTTGGGAGGATTCCTGGAACTCATTGGCCAGTTAGCCTGGCCACGTAAGGTTTAGTAAAAGAGCCTATCTCTAGAAACGAGGCTTGGCAGCATACACTTTTAATCTCAGCACTTGGAAGGCAGAGGCAGGTGGATCTCCATGAGTTCAAGGGCATCCTAATTTACTTAAAGAACTCCAGGACAGCCAGGGCTACATAATTGAGAGACCCTGTCTTAAAAAAAAAAAAAGGAGGCTAAAGAGATTGAGGAAGATGAGGAAGACATCAAGTCATCAGACATCAACACACACACACACACACACACACCACTTCTTTTTGTTGTTTTGTTTCAAGTGCTCCATAAAAACCAAAACCAAAAACCAAATCAAAACAAAAACCTCTTTAAAGAAAAGAAAGGTTAGGAAGAGAGAACTGGTGACTGAGCAGCCAGCCAGGGTAGACCTTTTAGAAGAGCTGACTATCCTTTTAGGCAGCGGTTCTCAACCCTGTGGGCTTGTCTTGCTGGGTATGAATAGGCACCCAGCATGGCCACATCAAGATGTCTGGCCCTAGGTCTAGTGAAGGCTCACTTGCCTGTTGATTATAGGAAGGCTTTAATCTCCTGGACTCACTCCCAGCAATTATATTATCCTGCACCTCAGAGAGGTGGATGTAGGATGGCCTTGAATTCCAAGTGTCTGGGAAGCTCAAATGAACCCACTTTTGGATCCCTAATCTCTGCACCCCACTCCCCAAGCAGGTCAAGGAAGACAAATTTCCCCATAGATCCCCAAGCCTTAAAGCTGCTCTCAGCCAGACCCAACACAACTAAATAGTCCTTCCTTTTGTTCTGCCTCCTGGCACTGGGGAGGTATCAATTTCCAGCCAGTCCTGCTTGCATGCAGGCTCTGTTTCTTCCTGATAATGTATGAGTAACCCAGTTATATACATGGTGGCCAGAGCCTCCTTAACCATTCTATTGCCTTCCCCAAAAAAGACTAATAAGGATGGAAGAGAGGAGGCATAAAACATGAAGCCTTCTCCTTTCCTGCTAAGGCCACCCCTCCAACAACTCCCCACACCTCTGTCCCTTCCCTTGCCATTCAGTAACTATTTATTTAACATTGACTATGTGCCAGGGCTGGTGCCAGCCAGTGGGTGACAAATAAGGGCAGGACCTGGCCTTGGGAAGCTCAGGGGTGGGAATGAGAGGAGGAAATGGCAAACAATAGCAGAGTAGGTGGATGAATGACACTGGAGATCCCTAAGAACCCAAGACCTCCAACTCCTCTTGGCAAAGCATGAGGGAGGTGGGTGTCAGTTCATGGTTCCTACACAGAAGACAAGGTTGCAGAACCATCCAGTGCATTATTTTGGAATTTATAAATCTTAAAGGTGACTTATTTCCCATTTGGAGTTTGGGCTTTGTCGGGGAAGGGGGGCAGTGGCAAGGCCTTTGGGCAGGGTTTGCCTCTAGGGAATTGATTTTGGCTGCAGAGAGTTTGGAGGCATGCCTAGATTCCAACCAGGGCTCTGCCACTTAGGACCTGTGTGTGCCTCTGGGCCAATCACTTCCTCTTCAGAACTGCAGGGTTCTCATCTGTAAAAAGCACATAGGGGGAATGAAGATTGAGAAGAGCATTTATATGACGCATCTGGACAATTAAGGACTCAGACTAGGGGTGGATAGAGATTGTGAAGCTGCCCCTGTTCCTGTCTTGCCTCTTGTCCTCCTTCCCTGGGCTTCTCTGTGATCTCAGAACATTCTTGATCGTTGTTTATCAGGGAAAGATCACATGGAGAAGCCAACAGAATGGCCAGGAAACAGCCTGGGTGGGACTGGGGTTTCAGCATGTGCCTGTTCTCAGCAGAGATGCAGCTCATGAAGGTCCAATCCCCCCAAGGCAAGAGAATGAGCCAGTTGTGTCAGAACTGAGGATCCCAAACCCAGACTTGAATTCTACAAGTCCTATTGCCCAAGCCATCTCAACCTCCGAAGTTTTTCTACCATACTGAAGGGTTGGAGGAACATGAGAGAGCTAGAGATAGTCCAACCAGGAGGTGGATACGTTAAGTTCCCGGTTCTCTATGGTTTAGGAGCTAGCAGGCTGTCATAACCCTTACCTGAACTATTCACCCAACAGACAGCTCATCTATTTTTAATTTTACTCTCATTCATTTGTTTGTTTATTTTAGTTTTCCACCAGGCCTGCAGGCCCCAGTCTTCAACTGCACAACCATGGAGGCCCTGGGTACTGGGAGCGACCGCACCTCCCCAGCCTCGGCCACTGGAAGCCTGGACTTGAGGCGGCTGTCCACCTCGCGCACCGACTCGGCCTACAGCTCTTTCTCCGCAGCATCTGGTGGTCCGGAGATGCGCACACCGTCCCCTGGCACCGAGCTCCTCCCTTACCTAGACTGGGACTATGTGCGCGTGGTTTGGGGCAGCCAATCCCCTACCCCGCAGGACATTATCCTTCCAACTACCCAGCGGCCAGAGCCGGTAGTCGCTGAGCACAGTGGTCTGCTGCCCTCAGAGCTCCAAGGAAGCCCGGGATCCCTGAACAGACAGGATACCCCGCTCTTGTACGCGCTAGCCTCCGAGGCTGAGGCTACGGCTCGCACCACCGAGCCGCCCAGCCCTCCAGCCTCACGGGACGACTACCGTCAGCGGCTACAGGGTGCGCAGCGGCGAGTGCTGCGGGAGACGTCCTTCCAGCGAAAGGAGCTCCGCATGAGCCTGCCCGGCCGTCTGAGACCCCTGCTTCCCGCGCGGCCGCCCACGCTGCACGCGCGCTCCGCTTCCAGCAGCCACGAGGGAGGAGAAGTGGATCCGGCGCGCACCGTGGTCCCCGCGCTGGGTGTAGCTGGCCGGGGGCGTCTGGCCAGCCAGCAGCGAATGTGCTGTTTCTCCGAGCCAGGCAAACTGCATCGCGTGGGCTGGAGCGGCGGACCCACTGGCGAGGGCTTGAGGGAGGCTTGTTCCACCCAGGAGTTGCAGCGTGGGGAGCACGCAAAGTCCAAAGGGCTGCAGGAGACTCAATCCCTAAGCTCAGTGGAGCTGGACTTCCCGTCCGTGAATCTTGGCAATGGTTGTAGACCTGTGGGTCGGAGTCAGAGCGTTTCAGGTGTGGTCATGGGTCCCCGCAGGGGTTCAGGAAGGACGGTGGCTGCCTCTGTTCAGGTATGCAAGATAAAGGCTAGTTGGGGAGGGCAGTATCTGGGAGACCGCTGTATTTCAGGTTACTGTTCCCCTTTCTAGGCTGTTGCTCAAAGGACAGAAACCCCCAGACCATTACTTCAGATGAAGCTTTCCAGGTGAGAGACATGGGCCTCTCCCAGGACAGAGCTGTCAGAAGTCAACTTTCACAGCTCTTGCTTAAAAAAGGAATCATGGGTCCTGCATTCATTACTTTTGCTATTGTCGTGACCAGATTCCTAACAGAGGGGACTTAGAGAAGAAATACTTATTTTGGCTCTGGGTTGAAAAGAGTAGAGTCCATCATGGTGGGAAAGGTGTGAATTCAGCAAGCATGAGGCTTCTTGGGGAACAATTTCCTGCGGGTGCGCAGCTCTCTTTTTCCTTTCAACTTTTTGTTCAGTGTAGACCCCAGTCCATGGGATGGTACTGCCCACATTCAGGGTGGGTCTCCCCTCCTCAGTGACACCTCTCTGGAAACCCCCTCACAGTCAACCACAGGTGTCTCCTAGGTGGTTCCAAATCCAGTCAATGGATTGACCTCTAGGAGATAGTCTACCTGCCTCAGCTGGTGACTTGTGTCTTGAAACTGCATGCTATTATTGCTATGGTGCAGTGGGACGACTCTCTTTCCTGATCACTGTAGGGTTCCTGCCTCAAGGGTCTTGACTCAGAAAGAGACTGCGGTGGTGTGTCCTGCAGAGGTCCTCCAGGGCAGCCCAGCTGGCTCTGGTCAGGGGGTCCCTGAGACCTTCAGGGTGTCTACTCCATGCCCCTCCCTCCCCGAGGACCATGTGTTCCTGGAAGAAGCAGAGATACCACCGCCTCAGGATTCCTGTACCCTCCAGAGGCTCCCAACCAGGTGAATCCCCACTGTGTCCAAGCTCAGAGAGACACTCTCCACACATATATGCATCTAGAAAGTGCTACAGGGGCGGGAACTCTCTCTTATAATGCCCATGTGATGGGGGATGGGGGGAAGGCAGGCCTTGAGAAGCCAGCTGTTGTCTGAGCATTTTCTGATTCAGTAGTTCTTCTAGGGAACTTCATGCCTCTGACCAACGGAATGAAAGTGACTTAAGCAAAAAAGCTAGCCAGATTACAGTCTCAGCAGAGAGTCCCTTTCACGAGGAGGGCTCAGGGACCACAGGAGCTGATGACAATTCGGAAGAAGGGATAAACAGTTCTGTGGGTTTCTCAGGACCTACAAACTGTAGCCCTCCTGGGACTACAAATGATGACATTCCAACCGCTCACACTACGGGACCGCTGACCACCGATCCCTCTACAGCTACAGAAGATAACCCCCAAGAGCCTCCCTCAGTCGATGGACTGCAACCTTTAGTCTCTGAGACCCCAGGACCCCCTCACTACACTTCTCTGACCTGGGGCCAGCCTGCTCCTAAGCCAACCTGGCCTAATCGGCATTTTGAGGAGCTGGTTCAGCAGCTGGCCAGACTGGATCCTTCTTTGAGTGACACTTTTGCTGCCCAGCCTGGTCCAGAGCTACCTCTTGGTCTGCTGGATGGGCTCTTTCCTGCCACAGAGGTCTGGGCTGCAATGAGGCCAGCCTGTGAGGCCGCTGGAGAGGAGGCCCCTGGAGCCTCAGAGGCTGGAGCTTCGGATTCAGGGTGAGCGACAGCCACTAGGGACTCTCTCCTGACTCTGAGTCTGCAGTCTACAGCAGAAAAACTCAGAGAACTCTGGTTTTGTCCTCAGGTCCTCTGGAAGCCACTTTGCCCAGGAACCACCTACTGCTATGGAGGCAAGAAGATCGGAAAACACCACCTCTCACTCTGTGCCTGACCAATCAAAGGGCCAGGGACTCCCAAAACCAAACAGCACTCAGGCCAAGAAAGTGAGTCAGGAGTGGGGGGGGGGGCACCTAGGGGAAGGGGGAAGGTGGGGGATAGAGGAAGCTTACTGTCTAGGAGAACTCCCGAGCTTGGCCAAGTTCTTGAATACCTAGGCCCTCCCTGCAGGTGGAGCTAGCCCGCCTCCTCCAAAAGATGCTCCACGTTCTTCACGCTGAGCAGGAACGACTGCGGGGTAAGTCTGCAGACTGGACCCGATGTCACGGAGCTCTGGAGGCTGCAGTGAGCCAAGCCTGTACACCCCGGGAGCTGGAGCGATTCCGTCGGTTCATGACTGATTTGGAGCGCGTGCTTGGTCTTCTTCTGCTGCTGGGTAGCCGCCTGGCCCGTGTGAACCTCGCCTTGGCTAAGGCAGGCTCAGATAGCGACCCCGATGAGAGGGTAAAAGAGGTTGAGGTTGGGGGAAGAGCTGGGTTTGTAAGGGTCTGCGGTCTACAGCCAGGACTACCCCAGGAGACTCGGTGCTCACTGCGCCCTCTCCCGGTGCTTCCAGGCCTCGCTATTGCAGCGACTCCGGCTTCTGCAGCGACAGCAGGAGGACGCCAAAGAGCTGAAGGAGCACGTGGCTAGGCGGGAACAAGCCCTGCGCCAGGTGTTGGAGCGGGAGCTGCCCACAGAGCATCTGCACTCCTATTGTGTGCTGCTGGCCGCCAAGGCTAAGATCCTGTCCCAACAGCGCAGCCTGGATGACCGAATCCGGTTCCTTAAGGACCAGCTGGATACCATCTGGAGCGACCTCAGTCATCATCATCCCCTTTCTCCCAGACTGTCCTGGGCCCCAGGAATCCGTCCTCTGGACAAACCACTTTTTCCTGCTACCCCTATCTAGTTACAGGTAGTGGAGGTGAGGAGTATTGTCCTAGCCTCATCCTCAACTGGGGTCAAGCTTTATAGAGAGAGAGCTTTCCCTTGAGAGAAAAGGGAGGCCTCAGACCAGGCTTTCCCAGGATACATTTTCCCACAGTGCTCTGCCGCCTTACTCAAGCTTTCAATTATTTGGGAATTAATTTATGGGACTTAAAAACTGCAGTTTTCAGCCATGTGGTGGCACACACCTTTATTCCCAGCACTCTGGAGGCAGAGGCAGGCAGATCTCTGTGAGTTCCAGGCCAGCCTGGTCTACAGAGTGAATTCTAGGACAACCAGGACTGTTACACAAAGAAACCTTGTCTAGAAAAACCAAAAACAAACAAAACAAAACAACAACAAAAAAACCCCAAGAACAAAACAACAACAAAAACCACAACAAAACAAAACTACAATATTCGTGGAACCCAGTGTGCTGTTATAGCTATAATCCCAGCTACATGGGAGGCTGAGACAGGAAGATTTAGAGTTCAAGGCCTTACCTGGGCTACAGATGGAGCTAAAAGCTAGCCTGGGTAACTTAGGAGACTCTACCTCTTAATAAAATGTAAAAAGAAAGCTGTAGGGGGCTGGAGAGATGGTGGCTCCATAGTTAAAACCACTTGCCATTCTTCCAAAGGATCTGGGTTCGATTTGCAGCATCCTGTTGTATGGCTCACACCCACTTGTGACTCAAATCCCAGGGGATCTGATGCCCTCTGGCTTTCACACAGGTGGTATGAACACATACAAAACATCCTCAAATAAATAAAATTTAAAAATAATTTAAAGAGGAGGCTGCAGATATAGCCGAGTGATTGCTTGACATATGTGAGACCCTAGGTTCAATCCCTGATACAGCATCAACAAAAATAAAGCAGGACGAATGAGTACAAACCCTTGGCACATCTCTTGTGGTGGCGAGCCCCTCTGCTGAAGTTGGTGGGAGGCAGAGGGGTCAAGACAGAACACTGCAGCTTATAATGCAAAACAGTATTGTGTTTTATTTTCTAATAAATTTTCTGGGAGAGGCGTGTGTGGGATATTCCTTCACACTGTGAATATGAGTCACCGTGATTGAATTAATAAAGAAATTGGCAGTGGTGGCACACCCCTTTAATCCTAGCACTAGGGAGGCAGAGGCAGATGGATCTCAGTGAGTTTGAGCCCAGCCTGGTCTACAAAGTAAGTTCCAGGACAGCCAAGATTATTACACAGAGGAACCCTGTCTCAACAAAAACCAAACCAAATAAAATGATAAAATAAAATGTGGAGCTAGTAACAAGCCCGAGCTATTGCCTGAGCATTTATAATTAATATGAAGCCTCTTTGTGTTTATTTTGGAGCCAGTGGTCAGACAAAAATTCCTCCTGTGACAAAAAACTCCATCTACAGAGCATGTTACCTGCCAGGGTTGGGGAGGAAGGGGGAGGGTTCTCCTTGACAAACTCCAGCAGCAGTCCTGGCTGACTAGAGTTGAAGAGGAAGTTGGCAGAATAGAGGCACTCCACCAACTACTAGCAACTGCTAACTGCCCTGATCACTGGATCACCACCACAAAAGTTTAGGTCTTGGACTAATGAGAAGACTCCGATGGTAAAAGGGCTTGCTGTCTAAGCCTGATAATATGAGATCAAACTCCAGATTTCAAAGGAGAGAGTCCACTCCCAGAAGTTGTCCTTTGACCCAACACTAGTGCCATGGTATTCATATACCCATACTCATACACATGTTTTTTTTCCCAACCATCACCAACAAACGATAACACACACACACACACACACACACACACACACGCTCCAAAAAATAATAATAAAGCCCACTGAGTTTAGGTGCTCTCATTACAGCACCTGCAGAGATGGGAGGTTTTTCTTAAGAGCCATGAGTTACAGGCCAGCACAGCAATGGATTGAGAGCCCCCAACACAACTCAAAACACAAACAAAACTGACCTCACCCAGCTGTTGGTCTGAGACCAGCTCTGGACCAGCCAGGCCAGAAGGGAGCAGAGGATGGGAGCTGAAGATGAGGAATGGGACATCCAGGAATAGTGGGTGTGAGGCCCAGAAAGGCAGTGAGGGCTTGTACTATATTCAGCCAACCTCGGTGTGGCCCACGGTGGTCCAAAACACAGAACAAATCCCTCTCCATTTGGACAGGAGCCCTGAGCACACAGAACCAGTTTTGCAGATTAACATGAGACCAGCTTCAGTATCCAAGCTTCGAACACTAGGGATAAGAATATTTTCTCAAAAAAGCTCAGAGTGTTTTTGGAAGTTGGACACATTTAAAGGCTCGCGTGCGTGCGTGCGTGCGTGCGTGTGTGTGTGTGTGTGTGTTTAATACCACTGACCCCAAGGTGAGAGATCTCTGTTTTTGGGCTTGTTGTGTGATGTGTATTGTCACTCAGTGCAATGGTTGGGAATGTTAAATGGTCGTATTCATACTAAAAGCATTACTTGCAACAGTTGAGCTACTGAGCACAGAACAATGTTCATATTGTTTCATTTTGTAAAAAAAAACATATGGGGATCCAGCTGATGCCATCGCGGGTTCTAACAATATGCTTTGCTTTTGTTGCTTTGAACCCTGTGGGGTGGGCCTGGGCTCCAAGGCCATGGTGGAGCCAGCTGTCTTGGAGGAGCCTTCTGCATGGAAGTTGCTAATTTCTGCCCATTGCCCTACACAGTGCCCATTGCATGCTTCCGTTGTGATATTAGAAATACATCTAACACCGTCCACTAAACCAGTGGAAAATTGTGTATTTCAAAGCACTTCGAGTTTAGGGGTGGGTATAGTGACGACTGTCATCTTCCGGCTAAAAGAAACTTGGCTCTATGTTGGATTTTTCGAAGGGGTGCTCAACTCTGCCAGTTAGCGAGAGCTCCCACAAACAGAGACACACTTTCAGAGTTCGCCCTTATGTCTATCATGGTCTTGTCTCCTTCTTGCCTCAGTTTTTCTCTGGCCCTATTAATGATTTCTTCTGAAGATACTCAGGAGTTCACGACAGAGATTCTGTATTGACATCCCAGACTTCAAAATTTTGGGGATACCTGTATTGACCCTGTGGTGCGCCGCCACCAGAGGGCACTGTTCCCTTACCATGGAAGCTTCCACCCACACTGTGGCCGCCCACAACCTGGCGAGCTTGCAAACGCTCCAGGCTCGCCATGGGGGCTTGGCCTGGCTTTAATGAGCAAAATCCCTCTTGGGCTTGAAAGCTGGAACTGAGCCTTTTGCTTCTCTGTCGGAAAGAAATTCTGGCTAATTAAGAAGGAAAAGGCTGGCTCGATTTTCACTGCCACCAGGCCTATGTTGGAAAATTGTTGAGTGAATGAGATGTGGTGGGGAGGGAAGCTGGGGATGTGGACCCAGAGCCTACATCCTAGAGTGTATCTGTCCGCCGCCTCCGCAGTTTGACTCGGCATCACACACGCCTTCGGCTACTGGAGGCGGCGCCCTGGGCTTTGCTAGATATTTGGCTTGAGCTGTTGTTGCTGGGCAACAGGCATCACAGCGGCCTCCCGCACATCCCGCCCCCGCTGCTCCTCCTAAGAATTTAATTGCTGTACTTTTTACTTTCATACTGTAAATTGGAAATGGGAAGCTGTGTTGCTTGGCTCCCCAAGCTGTCGAGAACATTCTGCTCGTTACAAAACGTACCTAGGCCAGCCACTAGCGGAGACTCTGAGGGTCCTCGCTGAGGCTGTTGGAGGCGCTGGCCATTCAGATGGCAGAGGCTCCAGGGAGGTTAGGGCAAATGCTCTGTACCCACGAGAGGTGAATGGTGGGGGTTGAGAAGGAGAGGACACTTACTGTGAAGAAATTCTCTCGAGACACCTACCACCACTGTCATAGCCCTGCCACACTCCTGTTAGCTTTGGTATTTACATCACTCTGCATTTCCCATCAAGAGAATTTGTCTTTCTTCCGTGGGAGAGTGATGGATTAAGGCACCTTTTCCCTCTCCCTCTACCCCTCCCTTCCTCTGCTATGCCTTGCTTGCTCTCTTCTTTATCTTCTTTTCCTCCCTTTTCACTTTCTACATCCTCTCCTCCATGGCTCCCTTCCGCTTTCCTCTCAAGAGGTTCAAGTCCAGAGGTGTGGCAGTTCCCCCACGGTGAGGCCAGTCCCTAAGAGGCCAGTTCCTGAAGACAAAAGGCCATCTGAATAATGAGTCTATTTATGAAGCCATTACAGAAGATTTGTTTATGTCTGTCTATGCACTACACACATGCTTGGTGGTGCCTTTAAAGGAGAGAAGGAATCAGATTCCCTGGATCTAAAGTTATAGATGGATGCTGGAAACAGAACCCAGGTCCTCTGCAAGAGCAACCAGTGCTCTTAACCACTGAGCCACCTCTCTAACCCCTGGGAGCATCTTTAAAAAGATTGGCAGATGCTTTCAGCTCATGTAACAAGCAGTTTGGGTGGATAAAATAAGGCTAGTTGATGAATGTGAGTTAAGAAAGACAGTGCTCATTTGGGGGGCAGAAGCAGGCAGATATTTGTGAGTTCGAGGCCAGCCTGGTCTACAAGGCAAGTTCCAGGACAGCCAGGGTGACACAGAGAAACCCTGGCTTGAACCATCCCCCAAAAGGAAGAAAGATAGCTAAATGGATAAAGGCACCAGTTGCCAAGGCTGACAACCCTTGCTTCATCTCTGGGACCAGCACAGCAGAAGGAAAGATTCCTAAAAGTCATTATCCGACCTCCACCCCTGTGCCATGTCACATGCATGCCCACACACATACACATAAAATAAATTAAAATACTAAAAGGATGAGGCTGCTGATTCTGAAGATACTAGTTGTTATTTTGAGACAGGGCCTCAAGTAGTCCAGGCTTGCCTTGAACTCCATATGTTGCAACACTCAGGACATTGAATGCCCATCTTTTGTCTTCAGCTCTTGGGATTACAGGTATGTACCACCAGACCCACCTTCTGTTGATTCTGTTCTCTTACTACATAGCCCTGGTTGACCTGGAACTTGCAATGTAGACCAGGCTGTACCAGGACGCGGGGATACTTCTGCGTCTGCCTTCTGAGTGCTGGGGTTGAAGACAGACACCATCATGTCAAGCTTAGATTAAAAAAAATTTTTTTTTAGTATGTAGTGA